TATAAAGATTTCCTTCATAACTCGCCGATGTGATCAGCTATTCAGAAAAAAAATAAATCAGCATCTGTTGTGATACAGCCATCCAGAATCTGAAAGAACTGTCAGAGTGAAGACATCACAGCAACTCTACCCCACCTCGGCTGTGTAATTGTAATGACTCAGAGCCTGAAGCCCATAAAGAACAAAACCAGCCTTAAGGCACTCTGTAAAAATGCTGGAGATACTGTGCAGAGTCGCTGAACTACGGTAAATTCAGAATCCTGTTTTCCAAAACCATGCCTTGCTTGCCTGTGCTCAGCCGAAGGCGGGAGATCAGTGTCTGCAAGAAGCCACAGGGTGGCAGCGCTGCCCCACGCCGGCGTGCAACTAGCCTGGGAACAGGAGAGCCAAACCATGTCCTCGCAGATGATTTGAAGAGAGAACTTGAAATATTTATTTTTGACAAGCGAACCTAGTTATGCATTTCAAGTATTAAACTGAATCTAGCAGAATACACCAACTCTAAAGAATTCAAAATTTAAATTTCATACTGTTCATTCTATCCTAATTAAAGCTATTTTGCTACCACGTCACATAAGCAGAGTACATAGTTACAGAACCTCAATTTCAGGAAATTTTCAATTCAGTGAATACGCTGAATTCAGTGAATACCCATATAAATATACAATTATATAATTTTCATATAAAGACCGATATTTTTTCTAAATTTGAAGTCCACTTGACATCTGTTTCATTTATCAGTCTGGGTGGTGAGTCCTTAGTGGGCCACACTGCAGGCACATTCCTGGGCTCCCATGCAAAGCGCAACAGCTTTCCCAAGAGAAAATGTAAGCGTAGCTGAAAGGTAGTTCATCACAGGCTCTACTGCCTACAGACAGCACAGGTGGAACAGTGCCAGATTTAAAGGACTGTCAGAACCGACAACCAGTGTCATCCAGGCACTCACACTGTGTCCTCATGTCCAGTCCTGTCTGCCCTCTCAGCGTGCACCACGCAGTGACCAGTCCTGCTGCAGTGCAACATGCACGTACGGAGCTGCAATACTGGCAGCTGCTGGCTCCGTCAGACCTCGGCTGACCGCTCGGTTCAGCCAGAGCGTGTGTGGAGCCGCCAGGCAGAAAGCAAAAGGGACTTGGCGCAGCTGCAGCAAGCTGAAGGGGCCAAGGGCAGCACCCACAGAGACTGGCGTGCCAGTGTTCACAGCACCTGAGCCGAACACCGCATCGGCTCCCCGGCGGCTTCGCCGGCAAACGCGCTGCCTCGGGCGGGGTCGAGCTGGAGCCTGTTATCAGTTTTACAACCTTTAGGACACGAGACAATGGCAGAAACCGATGCACAGGCAGCTCTAGCTGAACACGAGGAAGAACTTCTTTATTGTGCGGCTGACCGCGCACTGGAACACTGTCCGAGGAGGTTGTGGAGCCTCCCTCACCGGAGACACTCAAGAACCGGCTGGACACAGTGCTGTGCCGGGTGCTCCGGGCGGCCCTGCGTGAGCAGGGCGGTCGGAGCAGACAACCCGCTGCGGTCCTTTGCGACTCGGCGCGGGCCCGTCCCGGGGCGTTCCGCGGCTCCGGGGGCGGCGGACGACAGCGGAAGCGCTGCAAGCGCGGCCCCTCAGTCCCCTCCTCCTCCCTCCCGCCGCCGCCACTTCCGGCGGCCGCTCTGCCGCGCCGCGTCTATGCCCGCGGCGCTGGGGGATGTTTATTGTCGCGGGGAGTCGGCCCAACACCCGGAACGCCGCCGGGCGACCGGCACCCACTGACCGCCACAGCGCTGCGCCCTGCCCCGCCCCGACCGCCGCCCGCCCGCACGGTAACGGCCGCCGCCCGCCGACGGGCCGCGCTCCTCCTCCTCCTCCTCCTCCTCCCCCTCGCCGCCGTCTCGGCTCCGCGGGCCCGGCCGGAGCCGCCGCCGCCGCTGAGCCCCGCGTCCCGTCCCTTCGCCGCCGCCCCTGCCCGGCCGAGGTGAGGGAGGCGGCGCGGGGCCTGGCCGCGGCCCTGCCGGTGCCTCCCGCCGCGGTGCCGGTCGCGCCCGGGCGGCAGGGCGTGCGCGGCCGGGGCCGCGGGGCAGGCAGAGGGAGGAAGGGGCAGGGCATCCTCCGGGGGAACGGGAGCAGCCCGGCCGGCCCGCGCCCGGCCCCGAGGGCTTTGTGGCGGCCCGTGCCCGCACGGGCCGGCGCTGCCGAGCGGCGGAGCTCGGCGTGGCCAGGCCGCCTCGCTGCCTGCGCTTTGTTTGTGCCGTGCTGGCCGCGCAAGTTTCGGGCTGGGGTTGAGGGGGGAGAAGAAATGGCTGTTGACCAGAGCGTTGTGACGATGGCGCATATAGGGCTTTGGGTGAGATTCCCAGCAGAGGGAATAGGAAGGGTACTCGTGCTTCTCCGCTGGGACGCGCAAATGGTAAAAATGTTTGACTGGGAGGGAGTGAGAGGCTTACCCGTTGCCTTAAAATATTTTGTTGCAGCTAAACATTTTTACTTTTCTTGGGACATTTCATCATGTTGGAATGGCCACCGAACTTGTTGGTTCAGACTTTTGTCGTACTTAGGATGATTTTTCCACGAATTATAAAGACAGAAATGATTCTTCTTAGTGCTTGGCGTTCCTGGATGTTCTAAAGGAAAGGTGGCACAAACTTGAGTTCAGCTGCATCTTGCTTTGAATATGAATGGGCCTTTTGATGAGAGAAAGATCTGAGGGAAATGGCGTGCAATTAATTATTTAAAATATGCTTTCTTGTCTTGCTCTATATGCTCTTTGGTTTTATTCTTGCAAATGGATTTATTTGTGTTGGATGACCCTACGGAGGTACAGTAGGCTTATCCAAGAGCAGGACTGATGTGCTACTTGCTTATGATATAGCTGGTATTATCATTCAGTGCATGGATCTAATTGAACAAATCCCTGCTTTGACAATGGTTTTGCACATATTTGAAAATTTTCTTCCCCAAAATATAGTCATGACTGCAAATCCTGAAAGGTGAGAATAGTAGCTTCAAGATGGCCTTTTGCTTTAGGCACAGTTTAACTTGCCATTGCAACTGAAAGTAAAAGCATGCACCACCAGCACAATGGCTGGAACTAAGAAAGTTGTTTGGAGCAGAGGATGTTCTGCACAGACAATAGTCACTATGTTGCTCTTGTTTTCAGGGAGTCATTCAGCAGCCACTGTGACCTTACTGTGTCTAAGGATTCAAGCAGATTTCAGAGGTGTGTCACCTCCAGCATTTCATGTGGACCTGTTTCCTGAGGGGCTGAACAAAAATCTTTAAAAGTACATCTTCAGTGGAAGGATGTAATCATCTCTCTCCATTCCTGGCAGGCTTTATTTATTCTCCATTCTCATATGGAAACGTCCTGTAGAGGTTTATGTTAACTTCTTCAAAAATGCCTTTCAGGCCTTAGTTTGACAAATGTCCACTGACACAGCAGTGACCGGTATCCTTTCAGCTGGGCTGGTGGAATTGTTTGTGAAGTTGGTCACTCTGTGAACTGCTTTGGAGAAAGGTTAAAAATAACCAGTAAAAGTTGCTTATACTTAGGCTGATGGTGATAAAGGTGTTTATTAAACTGTTCTGACATTAACATAACCATTGTTACATATCCCCCATCTACCTTTATAGCTCTGAGTTTCTTGGATCAAAGGTAGTCAAGAGCTTAAAATAATACTTTGTTTATATACCCCATCCCAAGTGCCTTTCCTTTTTCTTTGATGATGGTGCATGGTTGGTTTGGAACTTTCTGAAGACAGACTGCTGGCTTTTTTAAGATTGTAAGATTTCCGTGCAGGGTGTTTTGTCTTCACGTGTGTTTATAGAGTATCTAAAATAGTACGTCTGTGATTCTAACAGTGGATATAGAGGTAATGCTTTAAGAACTTGCGTGTTCATTCCTCCCTCTGAAGTATTTCTTATTCTGTGGAGTTTTTCTGGTTTCAGTGTAGGCTACATTACAGTGTCAAATATCCTTGCATTAGCTTTTACTGTTGTTTTTATTTTTGTGTTATCATGCTTAATCTATTTACTCTTTTTTCCTTTTTTTTTTTTTTTTTTTTTAGTGTTCTTTTTTTTTTTTTTTTTTTTTTTTTTTTTTTTCTCTTGGGGTAATATTCCAGATACATCCCTGAAATCTATGTTGAAAAGAAAGAACAATGCTCTAAAATTTCCCTGATACAAAATAATTCAAACTTCTACAGAGATGTATTTCAGCTTGTTTCCTCTGCCAGGGTAGATTGTATTAAGCTGGCACAAAACAGTTTGAAATCAACGTTAGCTAGTTTCTTCTGTTGGAGAAAGACAAATGAAGTACATAATCTAAAAGAAATGCTGTACATGTAGGCAAATTATTTTCAAATTTATTATTGAATTATTAAATTAGCATTAGCTGGCTAAACATCATTTTAGAAATGAGATCTAGAGTGCCAAAATTCTACAGTTCAGATGAGACAACTTGAAGGGCAAAATTAATCAACAAAACCTATGCTGAGCTCAATAAAATCAACTTAAGCATTTGCAAATCCAGAACTGGAAAGAACCTGATGTTTGGTTTCTACTCAACCTCTGTTCTGCAAGTGAACTGCATAAGTATGGAATATAAATAGTCTTATAAGTAAGGAGCACTATTTTCCCGATTTTGCATAAAAGATATGGAAATACAGAAATTCAGGTTTTGGGAAATAACAGACAGTGCTACTGTAGTGTGTATGAATAGCAGAGAATACAAGAGACAGCTGGGAAAGAGGAGGATCAGAATGTTCCAGCTGGTCATGCTTGCTGGAGATATGTGTAAATAAGAGCAACATCTTTCTTTCTTAGACATTGTTAGACCTTTTTTGCAAATATGTTAGATTTTTTTTTATGTGATCCATGTATTTTTATTTTTTAAGAAAGTTTAAGTTGCTTTTCTTCTCATGGTTCCTCTGAATTTGAAGTTGTTTAAGGCTTCTGACAGGAAGGTAACATGACATCTTCTCTGTAGATTATTTTTTCCTTTGTTGTAAGTAAGGTGTGAGACATTAAAATTAATGCTTAAGTCAAAGATTGTGATATGTTAATGCTTGCTTACTGCTTGATCACAAGTATCCAAGCCTAGAAACCTTTTGGTTTACCCAATCTTTCCAAACCATACCTTGGAAGAGTTTTAACATTGTATTTATATTTATTTATTTATTTATTTATTTATTTATTCATATTTAATAGAAATGGCTGTGTTCAAAACCACTGACATATTACATACAATTTCAAATTTTAAAAGCCCCTCACTTAGTATCTGTTGTCTTGAGCTTTCAGAGCATGGCCAATTAAAATGGAGACACACCACTGTAATCTCTGTAATTTTTCTTCTCTTAGTATCTATGCAAGTAGGTTGTACTTCTAACCAAGATACATTGTAATAGCTGAAAACATCCTTACTGACAGCTCCACAGCCGCCTTTTTGCCTTAATAATAGATCTTTTCCATTTAAATTGTAATTTTCCTCCCTTTTCAACAACTTTTTCCTTTGTTCTGAATGAGCATGTGACTTTTCTCCCTGGATCTTTTAAAGATAAGCCATGTTTTATGGGGACATTACCATACAATCCTATGGTTGCTTAGGTGTTAGCAGCCTTTCAGTGGTGTTATGCACAACTCTGGTGTTTCAGAATGTAGAGGCTAAGTGTGCCAGAGGATGCATGCTGATAATTGGGAGATGCTGCTGATTAGAGGTATCTTGTTGACAATCTTTCCTGGGTTCCAGTAAGAGTCAGGAGTTGGAGCCAGGGTAGAAAACAAATGTCACTCTGAAGATGCCATGGGTTCCAGCTCCGTTCTGGCCCTGCCTGCATGCCATTCAAAATCTACACATGTGCTATCTTTGGATCTGGTGCCATAAATTACTTTCCCAATCTGTAGTAGTCCATCAAAACCAGATGGGATAAGTAATATCTAACTTTGAGGATTCATGTAATTTTTGTTTCAATAAAAAAGATTTACAAAAGGATCTGGGAGTACTAATTAGTTACTGTTTGTTCTCTTCTTTGCCTGCATTCCCTCCACCCCCACATGTAACCTTTGGTTTTTCTGTTTTCCTCTTGCTGTTTCTTCATCTCTTTTCTGTGTTATCATCCATCTTGCCTTCTCTTATATTGGACAAGCCAACAATTACAGAATAATTCTTTCAGCATGGGACACGCTGCAGAGTAAGCAGTAACCACCACAGTAACTGATGCAGTAAGTTGTGCACATCTGCCATGTAGTTTGTTACTTCTGTGTTGTCAGTGAGTGGTAGTCAAAGATGTACCTTGAGTTCTTCATTACAGACTATGTCATGATGTTTAGGAAGGCATAGTCAGGTGAAAATACTGAGAATAGCATTAATGTTATTATATCTTGAAGATTTATAATATAGAACATAAGGCAAAAACATTGAAAGTGATATAAATAAATCATAGTCTGATAGGTATGTTATTGGTCTTGATGCATAGTGTCCTGCTTCTTCATGGCAATGACCATGTGGAGCATTGCACATATGTGACCGTTTTTCTTTGATTTTGTTTTTTGCTTCCCTTTTTATTTTGGATGAAATATTGCTAAAAGGTTTATGTAAGTCCTTTTCACTGTATACCAATGATCTTGCTCTTGTCCCCTCTCATTTCTTCACCTGAGATCTATTTGAGATGCCTGCTGTCTTGGCTTTGTGTGGTTACAGAAGAGATGTCGTGTGTTCTTGGGCTGGGATGAGTGGTAGCCCAGCTGCTGGTTTTAGGATTCTCTTTCCCATCTGAGGTGTGTGTGAGGATGAGCACAGGCAGCCTGGATGCTTCCTGGGTGCCTTAGGTTTGCAATGCATGTGTGCCATCAGATTTACCTGTGCTTTTCCTCAGGAACATTCCATCTCACTCTGCCCGTACAATGCCTGCAGTGCAGATAGTCAGCCCAGGCTGCTGCTGCCACCAGGTCATTTTGTGTAGTTTGGTTTGAACTGTTATTGGGAGAGATAGAGCAAGAGTGCTGGATGAAGATGGGAAAGCTGTGGTAGCAGGCTGTCTACAGACTGCAGTTTGTGTGACCAGTGTTAGTTCAAAGTTATTCATAGGCTCATCCATTCCAACACAAATGTCAAACTGTTCAGAATTATCTGCTTCAGCAGTCAGAGAAATGTATTTTCCTGAGGTGTCTAATGACATCCTCAAACAAGCTGAGGAAAGATTATCCACTGGAGCTATGGAAGAAGTTTCACTAATCTTTACAGTGTCTTAATATACTTAGTGAGACTTGTACCATATTTAACTGGCAATTTAAAATACTCATATATATGTATGTATATGCACTTCATTACTGTTAACACAGCTTTGAACAAGTTACGTCCTATTTTCTGGCACAAAGGATGCAGACCTCCCCCTCCCCTCACATTGTTAAATGAGTCAGAGTGTAGTGAATTTCTGCTTCTTGTATCTTTTAAGGGGCAAATGTATACAATGGCATTAAGAGGCAATTTTCGATTTGTATGTTTAATTTTATCATTTTTGCTTCTCAGGATGTGATCTTCGTGGTGAGCTGGTGGGAAAACTGAGTTGTAAATCACCCCAATGGATGCGGACAGTGATGTTGCACTGGACATTTTAATCACAAATGTAGTGTGTGTTTTTAGAACAAGATGTCATTTAAACTTGAGGAAGATTGCATTAGAGGGAGCAAATGTGATATACAAGCGTGATGTTGGGGTAAGAGATTCAGCATACCTCAATTATCTGTTTTTAGAAATGTTCCTTAAGCTAAACATTCTTCAGCCTAATACCTGTGTATGGTGGATAGAGAAAAGCAGAATTTCCTTTCTCTATTTCTCTTGCTGTAGGTATTTATTTACTACTACATTACTTGTACAGAAATGGAAGTGATGAAATGCTGTCTCAGGAGACAGCACTTGGTGAGGTGAATATTGGGTACAAGGTTTGTGATGAGGCCTGTTATACCTCAGGGTCTGTTTTGGCTCCCAAAATTTGATGACTGTTTCAAGAAAATATATCTTGATACGGAGTCAGCAATGTCAAATCACTGTAATAAGAAAAAAAAAAAAATCAGCATGGTGCTTGTAGTCTTCAGCTTTTTATTTAGTGAAAAATACCTTAATTTAATCTATTTTGTGTACACTGAATCATTGGCTATTTCATGGTTATTTTGCTCTTCTCAGGAGCTAGGCTTTTTAATTATTGAAAGAGATGAAGGAGCAGTTCAAGCCTATCAAAACTAAAGGGAGTTTTAGTGTAACTTTAGTTGATTTGGGTAACACGTAATTTTTTTTTCTAGTATGAAATTGACTTACTGCTAATTTCCAATTTTTCTACTTTTCTTTTTTAGAAGGTTTTAATGAAGCTTAGGAAACCTAGGATTACGGCCACAATTTGGTCCTCAGGAAAAGTTATTTGCACAGGAGCCACAAGGTGAGTTCATGAAGATTCTTTCTCTAGCTCTAAATCCTTGTGTATTTTAAAATACTGCATTGTAAATGAAGAAGAGGTGGTACTTGCTGCTGCTTAAATTGGTTCACACTGGATCACATGTAGATCTTTGTCCAGCTATGTATTTGGGAGGAAGTTTTCTATGTGAAGTGTTTGTGTGAGACTTTTGAAATCTTGATCAACATCAGTTTAGCCTTCTTGGGAGAGCAGCAGGGAAAACTGCCTTGTTAAGAAAATCCTAAAGAGATTTGAGAAGCCTTTAAGAATTCTGTGTGTTTAGCTGGAAGTTAAGACTTGGGAAGGGATGACCTTTCCTAAGGATATCTCCTTATTTTTTCACAAAACCCCACCTGAATTTAATCAAGTTTTACAGTGTTGAGGGTCTGGAAAGATGCAAAAGCAGACTCTCAGTTCAGAGACATCTGACACTCACTAAACTCTTAAGAGCTGAATTCCTTTAAGATATGTCTGCATTTCAAAGTAAGGGAAAGGTAAGGCAAAATAGTAAATTTGCATACTTTCTGTGTCTGATCTGTGTTCCAAAATTAAAGAGGATTGTTCCGGATGTTAACTCCAGACTACCCATGATCTTATTTATCTGTTAAGGGTACTTAAAATGATGTATGATTAAAACATGTCTCTCACTTCAGCTTGAGCCAAGTGCCAAGATACTCTGCAAACAGGGCATGAAGGACTCCATTGGAATGTCTATCTAGTTAAAATCTAATACTTAGAGCAGGATGGAGTGAAGGCTGTCCATGAGATCATGGTTGATGTGCTACATTATATAATGGTTCCTTTTTTAGTCTGAGTAGCTATTGTGGTGTGTGTGTGTGTGTGTGCACAATCTAGCTAACACTAGATCCTTTTCTTTCTTTATAGTGAAGAAGAAGCTAAATTTGGTGCCAGACGACTAGCTCGTAGTCTACAGAAACTAGGTTTTCAGGTAACTCTGATGAGAAGGGACTTGCATGACTCAAGCAATGCTGATAGTTCATTTTTTAGAAAGAAACAAAGAAGAGGGAGCATAATGGTTTAGTAGTTAATGTGTTTTCACGCAAATAGCTCTTTTGTGTCCAAATACATTTTCCAGATGCTGGTTAAAGAGAAGCTGTTCTGTTTTGTGGATTTGAGTTTTGCTTGGCAGCTCAGAGCAGTGCTTCTTCACTGGATAATGAGCAGCATAATTTGTTTAAGATATGAACAGATATGTCTTAGAATTTACAATATCTCAAAAGATTTCTTTGGAAAATGTTGTAATGTTCAAATATTGTAATTTGAACATAATTTTCATTCATTTCTAATGGAATAGCGGATACATTTCCATCTGAATAAGGGCAAGTTTAAGCTTCTTAAATAAAAAGGAAGAAAAGTGCTTCTGTGCTGTCATGTTGCACAGCTGGAAATATGCCAATAACAAACTTAGGACAGGGAACTCCCTCTTTTATCTGGTTTTGGGTTAACATTACCAGTCAGAAACACCACTTGCGTTTCATAGTAAGGGTTGAAAAACAGCAACATGAACCACTTAAAATTACACCACTTGGTGCTCTAAAACTTCCTGATAGTCTATTGTGCTGTTTACACACAGGTTCAATTTATGGACAGACAATTAAATAGACACTGTAGCTGTCATTTTCAGAGAAAGACTACTTTTGATTATAGTGCATAAAGGCAGTGGTGACAGCCTGTGCTGGTAATGCTGCATCAGACTGCAGCATAAGTGTGACACTCCTACTGTCACAAATGTGTACTTTGGACCCAGTCCTTTTAAGTTGGAATGGAATGTTAAGTCAATGAGGTGCACAGTACTTCCAGGATGGACACACCAAGTTTTGTCATAAAGTGAGCAGTTTATATTTTGAAGATTAAGTTGATTTAAGGCTAAGTTGCTTCTTTCTAGTTATGTTTCTAGTTATCTTTCTAACTATCTTTCCAATTATCTTTCTAATATCTTTCTAAAAAGTGTAGATTGAAGAAGAGCAGCCATTTAAAGTTTAGGCAACCTCAGAAAATGTGCGAAAGTTTCTCTAGTGACATTGCCAATGCTGTTATGTCAGCAGTGCAGATTCTTTGTATAGCAGTTGTCTGTTGGCTGTTTTGTTGTCATCTATGGTATCTGTGATATAGAATAACTGAAAAGTTATTGAAATCGTTTAAGTTTGGTTTCAGAAAGTTACAGAGTTGGAAACCAGTTTGCTACTGGCCACTGGACATTTAAAGCAAAACTGTTGTCACCTTTTTCCTTATTCTTAGCTTTAATACAAATGGTATGTAGCAACAAGGCGTTAAAGAAGTTCACAACAATATTTAAGCCTTTTCTCTGCTTACTTTGATGTTCCATGAGCTCTTAAATTTAGTTTCTTTTCAGTGGGCAGGTGTTTAATACAGCAGTTTGAGTTGTTTCTGTGTCTCATCCTTAAACTGTACTATAACCATACTGCTGTAGTGACCATGATGCAACTCAGTTCAGCAGATACTCCACCACAGATGGATAATGTAAATATTCTGAGTCCATTAAGTACTCTTTAAATGCCTATTAGAAAAGCATCAGTCTTAAGATTCTAATTTTGAGTCATCAAAATATTCTAAGTAGTAGCCTTGTCTTCTATTTTTTTTTTTTTTTGCAACCCATGCATCTGACTTGCTGTAAATTTCTAATGTCTTTTTTTCCATCTCTTTTGAAAAGGTAATTTTCACAGATTTTAAAGTTGTGAATGTTTTAGCAGTGTGCAACATGCCCTTTGAGATCAGATTGCCAGAATTTACAAAGAATAACAGACCTCATGCGAGGTATGTAGGATTTTAAAGAATTTTAGTTCTGGAATACTTCTTAAGCTTTTATTTTTCAGTTCTAGATCTCTCTTTTTTACTTTTCATTTTGTTTTCTAGTTATGAACCAGAACTTCATCCTGCCGTGTGTTACAGAATAAAATCTCTCAGAGCTACCTTACAGATTTTTTCCACAGGCAGTATCACAGTTACAGGTATTTTAATGTCAAAAAATAAATATTTAACTTGTTGGGAATAATTAACCTTTAGATCCAGTAGGTTTGGGAAAGCAAGATGTTTAAAACAGTCAAAAGATAATGTTGAAAGGATTTAGCTTCCCTGTGCTAGCACCTAGTTTGTTTTTGAGTGAAAGTGCCAGAAGAGTTGTAGGGAAAGTGTTATTATTGGGCGGTTCAAAAAATTAGTTAGACTGGATGTACACAGTCTGTTTTTTTTTTAATGAAACCAAAAGTAAGATAGCACTTAAGAATGCAGGTAATTATTTTTTATTTAAATATTTCAATTTTCCTCCTTTTTTCTTCCATTTTTAGAGATGTTAACTACACTGCATTTAGCATTAACATCTGTTTCATACATATTTCGAAACTTCAGATTTATGGAAACTCATAGGATAGTATAGCTTTTTGTCATAAATGAACCTGACCAATATTTGTAGTTCTACAGACTTGTGCTCTCTTCTATTAAAGCTCAGCTAAGAGAACCACCACTCAATCACAGGCACTAGTGATTTTTCCCATGTAGTCAGAGACATGGTTGTCCTGGGTCTTGGAGAGGCCAGCCATTTTTTTTCTTCTTTCTTCATCATTTTCATTTTTCATTTTGTTTTCTGTTTGCTTGTGAGATGTCCACCACCAGTGTCCATGTACAAGAAGTCAGGTTTTCAGAGAATATATGTTAAAATGCTACAAAACCAAAGAAAATCATTTTGTATCACTTTAGCAACAATTATGTCTTGCAGTTGTTAGAGCTCAGCTACTGGTTCAGAAGCTGGGTAAGGTTTTTTTTATTTTCACATCTTAATTGCTTAACAAATGCCTATGTTTATGCAGAACATTTCCAACAAGATACTGGAAGCAGTGTTTTCTAAAGAAGATAAACTTACATCAGGTTCAGTAATCTAAAAATGAAGAGCTAAAAAATATTTCAGGATTGCAGTATATGTTCAGAACAGTGCAACTGGTTTAGACAAAACTAGTAAACTAGATTTAAAATAAATAAGAAGCCTTAGTATCACTGCAGTAATAAAAAGTTCTCAGCATATCTTGTCAGCCTCCTAACGAGATTCAGCTTCTCTGTAAGATTCTTATTACTTCATTGCTTAGAAAATCACTTCCATATTTTTAGAATTTTCCTTTCAAATAGGAAGGTAAATATGGTAAACATAGAAGTTTTGCATCCTTCTAGTTTAGTTGTAGCAGTGAGTTTGAAAAATTAACTCGGACCTCTATTGATTTTCTAGGCTTCTGCTTTGCGTCTCTTCTAGAGGAAAAAAATGTCCTGAGCATTATGCTTCTTATTCTAAAAATTATTTAAATTACTTTTCAGCCATAGTGCACTCCTTCTCAAGTGTGTTCAGATGAACTTTCTTTTAAAGATTCATGTTTCTGTAGTACTAGTACTTGTAATACCTCTTCCTCAGAGAATTTTGAGATACATAATTAGAAATGTTACAAAAAACCCATGAAGGTGAGTTCTTTCCATGAGACAAGTATAAGAAGATTTTTTTACTTTCGTAAAAGATAATAAAAATCACTAGCATGTAATAGAGAGAACTATTGTTTCTTTGACTCTGGAATGAAAAATGAGGGCAGTTGTGTTGTTTTGTTTTGTTTTTTCCTTCTCTTATATGCCCTAGAATGGTGATCCAGATTTTACATCTCTTCAGCCCTAGAGAGAGTGGCATTTTTTTGCTGGAACTATTTGCCTACTCATATTTTCACTTTTTGAAGGCTTCTCCTTTCCTGAGAACTTTCTTTTCTAATAGCAGCCAAATTTAAGGAGGGTACAGTATCTGCCCAGAAGACGGGTATCTTTCACCAGGCTTGTTGTAGCTGAATGCTTCACTCAACCCGTTGGAAAATACAGGAAGAATCCTATTCTTGTCCATTTGCTTTCTGACTGAGCATGTAAAACAATAATTAGTTAAGTAACTTATGCCTAAGTTATTGTTTTTGGGAGTAATTTTGAACAGTTCTCTATACTTGGAAGAAACTTTTGAAGTCTGAAGTGGAGTTACAAAAACTTTGAGTTCCTACTCATCAGAGCATATGAGAAATTGCTGTTCTCCTTTACCTGCTTCACCAAGCTTCTATCCAGAATTAATATCTTCCACCCTGTTACTGTTCACTTATTTGCAATCTTACTTTATCATTGCGTAAAGTGATCTAGTACCACCAGCAAGCATTGCTAGGTCATTTTTCCTTTTCTTTGCCTGGATGCTCACAGATCATGTTAGATAACCTTCTTCCTGAGATGATCAAACCATTCTCTGACTTGCAGGTTTTGTCCTGAGATCAGTGATGAAGCTATTTGCAAGTCTATAATTTTCAAACCTAAAATAATCTCGCTTGAAATGTACTTCAGTTAAATCCAGCATTATTTAACAGTAGCTTTGTTGGTAGGTTTTTAAAACAAGATCAGTAAGTGGCTAGGCTTGAAGAAATAAATTCCTAGAAGGTTGACATAAGTAAAAGAACTTATTTTACCTCAGCCACTCAGTCTCTTCTCTGGGCTATTTAAACCAGTAAATTGAAAATCAGCCAAGCTGTTATGAAATTAAATTACAGTATTATTTAATTGTAATCTATCCATTGACAAATGTAGAACATCTTGCAGATTTACAAGAAAAGATTTTCACATGAAAAGTGTTCAGAGAAAAACTCTTAAGTTAGGAGAAATTGGGGAGAACTTGTTATTGTCTGTTGTATGAAGTTGTGATTGTTAATAATATTAAGCTTTTTTTAAAGGTACTGTTGTTTTAATTTCTGATTCCTTGAATTTTCTCTTCCTACTGCCTTCTTTTTTTTCTTTTTTTAAACTGTGTCTCAGGGCCAAACGTAAAGGCTGTTGCCAGTGCTGTGGAACAGATTTATCCATTCGTGTTTGAAAGCAGGAAATAAATTTTTAATTCACCACTTGATGGTTAGGTTCCCTAACCAAGCACCTTCAAAGACTGCTGCACATTGGACTAAAAGCAAAAAGGAAAACTGGACCAACTACAGCAGAGGAATACAGACTCCTACTTGCTCATGGCCACAGTATAGACTCCAGTTCTTTTGGATTTTACTCTTAACAGTGCTGTATTGTAAAAACAGAAGTTTACAAGTTATGAAATTGCTGCTTTTAAAAAGACATTCTATTTATTTTTGCAGTAATTTCTGTGTATTCATAAGCAAAGCTGTCACGATGTGCACTACCTTTAAGACTTTTTTTTTAGCTTGAGCTTGTGTTTTATTTGTGAATAGTCTTTTACATTTTTGTATGCTGAATATTGGGCACCAAAGAAGCTGTAAAAGTTATCTTTTTCACCTGATGAATGTGCACAAATAAAAATTTGGAAAATATTTCTCTTCATACCTGTTCTGTTATATTCCTTCCCTTTTTATATTACAATTAAAATTGTATAGTTGCAAATTAATTTGAAACAATGTAAGAATAGTCTTTTGCTGATACCTTCTGTTTCTGTTTGTAGTATGTGTAAAACTTCGTGCTTGGGCTAGATTGAAATCTATAGTAGTTAACGTATGTTTATCTGACAATGAAATTTGGTTTGTTCCCAGTTCTCTTAACTACATGCCAGACTTCAAGTATTTTCTTGTTGTTACATGAAGAGAAGACATTTCTAAATATAAATGTCTGTAGCAAGTGTTTTTCTGTAGATGAATTGCAGAATGCGCTGAGTTGGAAGGAAGCCATCAGGATCACCGAGTCCAACTCCTGGCCCTGTACATGACACTCCAAGAGTCACACCCTGTGCCTGAGAGCAGTGTCCAAACGCTTCTCGAACTCTGTCAGGCTGGTGCTGTCACCACTTCCCAGGGGAGCCTGTTCCTGTGCCCAACCACCCTCTGGGTGAAAACTTTTTTCCTGATACCAATCCTAAACCTCCTCTGACTCAGCTTCACGCTGTTTCCTCAAGTCCTCTCACTGGTCACGAGAGTGAAGAGATCGGTACCTGCCCTTCTGCTTCCCCTCGTGAGGATGTTGAAGACCACAATGAGGTCTCTCCTTAGTCTCCTCCAAGCTGAACAAACCAAGTGACCTCAGCCCCTCATAAGGCTTCCCCTCCAGACCCTTCACCATCCTTGTGGCCCTACCTTGGACGCTTTCTGATAGCTTAATTACATTATCAACTTACGAAGCTACTGTAGAAAAAACAACTGCCTTGTCCACCTACTCAATGCAAAAGAAAAAAAATTAAATGTGAACTTCAGGAAAATTGTTGTGCTTCAACTGGAGAAGATGTTGTGGTCACTAATCCAGCCCCAGCCTATTGCTGAATGATTAACACAGACCTTTTCTACACTCTTCTTACTGTATGCTGTTTTGATGACAGGAGCTGCCAACAAGCAGTGAAGCTTGATTCTGGCATGTATTATTATTGGTATTAATCTTGGACTTGGAAGCCAGTAGATGTTTCTTTCAGTAAGTGCACATTTGAAGCAGAAGAGAGGTGAATGCTTAAAAGTAACTGCAAATGCTACTTTTAAAAAGATACAATAAATATGTATAAATGCATGTACGTCTTTTTTCCCTATCTCACTGAAGAGAAATGTAATACTGCTCTTGTGTGCTGCAGGTAACATTCAGTCCTAGGGGGTGCTAAAAATAGTAAACTGAGCTGTTACTGTACTAGAAATCACAGCTTCCAAAGAAAGGTGGAAGAACAGCTGGAGGAAGCAAAGGCCTGGCATGACGGATTTCATCTGCCTGAGGGGGTGGCGTGGAACTTGAGGCTGTCCATAGTGACTGTGCAGAAAGTATGTGAAGGAAGGAGTAGTATGGGAAATGCTTCACCAGATCCCTCAGAACAAAACAAAAGAAAACTTTGCTGTAAGTTGTAAGTGGTACGTTCATAAAGGCCTTTTAGAACTCTGTGTAGGTGTCAGAGAATGTTTTGGGTTAGAAGGGACCTTCAAGATCATCTAGTTCCAACCCCCCTGCTGTGGGCAGGGACACCTTCCACTAGAACAGATTGCTCAGAGCTCCATCCAACCTGGCCATTAACACATCCAAGGATGGAGCAGCCACGACTCCAGGCAACCTGTTCCAGTGTTCACTATCTTCACAGTAAAGAATTTCTTCCTTATACCTAATCTAAACTTACCTTCTTTTAGTTTAAAGCTCCTCCTCCTTGTCCTGTCACTACATGCCCTCTCCATGGTTCTTACAGGTTACCTTCAGGTAGTGGCAAGTCACAGGTCTTCTCTTTCTTTGTTTCCAGATAACAATTCCAATTCTCTCAGCCTTTCCTCAAAGGATATGGGTTCCATCCCTCTCATCACCTTGGTGGCCTCCTCTGGACTGATTCCAGCAGGTCCATCCAGAGCTGGATGCAGCACAGCAGGTGGGGTCTCACCGGAGCAGAGGGACAGAATCCCCTCCCTCATCCTGCTGGCCATGTTGCTTTGGATGCAGCCCAGGATAGAATTGGCTCTTTGGGATCCAAGTGCACATTGCTGGGTCATGTCCAGCCTCTCATCCACCAGAACTCCCAAGTCCTTCTGGGCATGGCTGCTCTCGGTCTGTTCATTCCCAGCCTGTGTTGATACAAGGGGTTGCCTGGACCAACATGCAGCATCCTGCACTTGGCCTTGCACATGAGATTTGCATGGGCCCACTTCTTGAGCTTCTAAGAGGGCTTATAACTATGAAATTATGAAGTTGTGTTAAATAGTCAGGGAATTCAATATAGCATGCTATGTGTAGGAAAGCTTGGTACACCTAAGTTTTCCAGTTTGTGTCAAATAATGTGGACCTTGGCACTCGTGACGTAAATAAGGATTTTGTACATAGTCAAAGAGCAATGAACAAACCACCATTAGGGAACACTAGTTATTATTACTACAATTTTAAAAAGGGAAAATCGGAAGGTATTTGAACAATGATCAAAATTGTAATGGGTTTTAGGGACAAAGTGTAGTCCCAAACTGATGAATGAGGATTTGGCCATTACAGCTACAATAGCTGTCATAGATTAGGCTTGCCTCTTCAAATCAAATTACAAAGCTCTTGAGTGCTACCAGTGAATATCTGGAGCTTTTATGAAGCATATGTGTCTCCTAAATTTATCTGTGGAGAAAGAGGAACATTTTGCTTTGTTAGTACTGTCACGTAGTGTGAAATCTGTCTCTTAGAATAAAAATGAAAGCTAATAATGAGCTGCAATGTATTAAAATGGGCACTGGTTCTTTTGAAGTGCTTCCTAGATCCATGCTAGCAGCTTGAAGCCTTTGTAACAATCCATAACAGAGCCAAAAAGCACACTACCAAATTTGCAGGGTAATACTGAAAAGAATAATAGCAAATAAGAAATCCCTTGAAATGTATGCCCACCTGTCCTTCTAGCGCTCTAAGGGAGCCTCAAACTATGAAAACTACATTATAAAACATATGATGGAGGGCATCAGCTGGTGTATGCTTATTCTGAGAGCTATCACTCCTTTTCCTACTGCTCTAAATAGGTAGGTCCCCACCTCAGTTTGGAATAGGACCTGCTGCTGATGCTTTCTCCTGTGTGCACACACAGCTCCCCTTTCCCATCATCACCAGTTAGCATTTTTGCCTTTGCTTTGTTGTGCTGCCTCCACCCAGGTTCTCACTACTAACTCCTGCATGCTCAATAGAAGATCCAGGCCAGTGTGTCCCAGCATGTTGGCTCTCACCTCCAGTGTGGGAAGCAATGCTTTGGATAAACTTACCTGTCAGTCATTCCTTCCTCAGTGACCAAGTTTCCTAGAGCACTGTTCATCTGTCCCTGATTTCTCCAGGTGGATCCCATGCAAAACTCCCTACAGTGCTCGGCTGTAGCACTGGCAGTGCCATAAAAAGTTCATTTCACATTCTTTACAGAGAAGGGTTGATTCTATTTATACACCCCACTAAGGGTAGTAGATTGATAACTCTGACTCATTGCTGGCTTGTGGGTTGTCACAGCTACTGGAACTTTTCCTGCAATTTCTAGCACCATTTTATCATTCTCAGACTTGAAGTTAGTGTTACCAGGGAAATTTGTGCTTTCGTTATCAGAATTGTATGCTGCTTTTTTTCACGTATTTGCAAAGTTTTGAATTCCAACCCAGTCTTTCCCAGCTTAGTGTTGCCTGCATATTTAATAAGCATATTCTGTTCTGTAATCCAGTCCATTGATGAAGGTACTGAATAATTTTAGATCTGGGACAAATTTCTTTTTGGAGTGCTTCAGAGATCCAGGGATGTGATTTGTAAAATGTATCCTTTTTTCTCTTGTATTTTCATAGTTGATGAGATGGTGAGTGCCAGCTCTGTGTCATCAGATATGCAGGCTTTGTTATAAAAGACTGTACAATTATGGCTACATTTACAGGCTATATAAGGCTAAGTCTGTAAGACTACAATTGAGACTGTAGCTATAATAATTTTTAAAATCCTTGACTACAACATCATGACTTGTAGGAGTTATCTGAAGGTCTATCACTGTCTCATCAGTAAAACCAGTATTGAAACTATCCCTTCTTCAGGAATATGGCATTTTTATTTATTTGTTTCTGCACTAAATAGGTGTGCATGGAAAAAAATTAGAAGAGCTTGCAATGAGCCCAAAACTTGTAAACTGGGGAGACAATTTCTATGGTATGTTCTAAGTTAAATTTGTTTCTGTAAGAACATTCAGAAAATTTATTACAGCAGAGGTGTCTGGAAAGCTGCAATGCTGAGAAGGATTTTGCAGAAGCCCCTTTCACTAAATACAATGTAATAGCAATTAAAAGCCAGTACAGACTTGGATTGTATGTGCAAACATCTGCTATCTGGAGGCAGCTATCAGAAAAGAGTACCAGCCAGAGCAAATGGGGACACAGAAGGAAATGCAAATAGTCCACTACCTGGTAAAGTCCAGGATCAGGAAATTGATTAATTTCCTGCCATATAGTCTTAAAATACAGTAACACTGAATATTACTGGATTTAATCCCAGGCACTTGTTAGTATAATAATAATGTTGGCAGCATATTTGGAAGACTACCCAGAGTCACCTTTGTATTTCTGTTTCTGAAGTTGACTCAGTAGAATGCATAATGCTGATAACTGTCTTCCAGCATAAACACGAAGCAAGTGAAGAGATTTTCATAGACATCAGTGCTATAAAATTAAGGCTCTCATCCTGAGGTAGCTAAATGTTTTGTGACTTCAGGCAAATAATGGCCTTGGCTTCAATAGTTTGTTTTCAGGTCTTGAACATGAGCTCACTGTCTTGACTAGACTTGTGCATACAAGTCTGTGATGTCAGTATCTAGAAATGCAACCGTGTGAGAATCTGATTGGAACTGATCTGCTTTGCTCAGAAGTAAAACTTTATTTGTGCCAGTAAGTCACTTTTCCTTTAGTGCAGAACATAGTCAGGTGGTTTTAATGCTATGAGACAGCAAATAAAGTGGGATCACGTGCTTAGTTCACACTAGTATCTGCACTCCAGCTGACTCTGTCAGTCTTCCAGCTGCCTCAAAGAAATGCTGGAAGAAATGCCACTTTGTGGCTACAGAGACAGCCAACATGCTTTTAAAGCATGCTCTGTTTTGGTTTTTTTTTTTCTTTAAACAAGGAACCATTTATTTATCTGCTAATATATATTTATCTACTGATCACTCTAACAACATCTATTAACCCACTAAGAAAAAAATACCAATGTTCTTTTATGGGAGCCATATGAATAACCCTTTGTAGAGACTTGTTGAATACTTTAGGATACACTTGCTAAGCAATAACCAAGAACTGGACATAATTTATGATCTGCAGTGATTACATTTCCTTCTTGAATTCTCTGTGTGCTGCCATGTACCACAATTCTCACTTTCTGAATCCAAAAGTCAGTCTAGTGTGTCCTGTTTATTTTGACATCAACTCTGGTACCTTCAGTTTCCAACTTTCCTGGAAATGAGAGGCCAAAGAAATCCTCTTTTCTCTTCTGTAAGGCCATCATCAGTTTAGATTACTTTATTATAGAATCCATAAGGTTGGAAATGAGCTCAAATATCATTGAGTTCAGTCTTTGACTAAATACCACCATGCCAACTAAACCACAGCACTAAGTGCCACATCCAGTTGATTCTGGAACACTTCTAGAGAGGATGACTCCACCACCTCACTGGGCAGCCCATTCCAGTGCTTAACTGCCCTTTCAGTGAAAAAATTCTTCCAGATACCCAGCCTGGACCTCACCTGGTGCAACTTGAGGCCAGTTCCTCTCAGTCTGTCACTGATTGCCTGGAAGAACAGGCCTACCCCCACCTGGTTAGTTAAGAGAGTTGTAGAGAGTGACACATTTAGTGTCCCACATTAAACAATCTGACAATGCTTTCTGAAGGGTATTCCTGAGGTCACTGAATCCTGGCCCTACTGAGAAAATTTATGTAAAATTCCTCTTACAAGTTGACTGTGCTCTGCGTTATAAATAATTAAGTTCATCTGAACAAGATCCTTTTTCAGATCTTGTTAAGCTGAATCCTAAATTAATTTATAAAAAGTTTATATCCAGTAGTTCTGCACTAATGTCATCTTTTGCATTCCATAGTTGTCCATTTTTTGGACATAGCATTGAACATAGCATTTTTTCCATAGCATTGTTTTCCCTAACTTGCCAACAGTTAACCCTTTTCAGCCCCATTTTTGCTAGCCTAAACAGACCTGTCTTTGGTAGGCTCCTCCTGTTGAGACTCTTTCTTCTTCCTGGCATCCCGATTCTTCTTTGCACTTCTTCCAGACTGAACTGTAGTTGAATATGAATAGGAGATTTGTGTGCAATATTCCAATTTCCATTCACCTCCTGTATGCAAGAGGTGAGTAACCTCAGGGGATCTGAGGGATGTTGGTTTAAAACAGAGTCTAGATTTCCAGTTAGTCATAAACTGTAACATTCTTTAATGTTGGCTGTAAACTGCCGCTAAAAGAAGTACTACCAAGAAATAAAAGAGATAATATCTTGTGTATAATAACGATACCACATGCCCCATAAGAGTGTGAGCATCACAAAGCATCTTCGTTTTGTTTAATCAGTCTCTTGGTGAAGGCTGCTTTGCTTGCCCCGCGTCTAGTAGAGTTGCTCTTTTTCTCTCTCGGCAAGTTCCACCAGTTTCTCTCTGCGCTGGCTCACCCCGCACAAGGGCGTCCTCACGTATTTCCTGCAGAAGCACAAAACCCCGCACACGTTGGCCACTGCAGGCGGCCGGCAGCGCGCTCTCCCTGCGGCACACACTGAGCGCGGGGATCGGGGCCCGGCAGGACGGGAGAGCGCACCCCTCAGAGCCACCCCGGCACCCGGGATGCCCCGGGACGCCCCGAGACGCTCCGGGATGCTCCGGGATGCTTCGGGACGCCCCGGGCTGCCCCGGGACGCTCCGGGATGCTCCGGGATGCTCCGGGACGCCCCGGGCTGCCCCGGGACGCCCCGGGCTGCCCCGGGACGCTCCGGGATGCTCCGGGACGCTCCGGGACGCTCCGGGATGCTCTGGGATGCTCCGGGACGCCCCGGGATGCTCCGGCGGTGCCGGCGCTCCCCCGCCTGCCGCGCGGGGGCGGCCCCGCCGCACGCTCCGCCCGGCAGGGATGGATCCCTAAGAGGAGGGGAAGGGACAGCCCGAGGGGCACCGGCAGCACAGTGCTTAGTCCGTGCACTAATTGGTCTATAAACAAGCTCCTTCAAGCCTGGCTGCAAATATTCTCCTGTAATCTAAAAAATACAAATACAGGATGATAGTAAGATGTTCACATAATAATTACTTTAACTGCCAAAATAAAGTATCTAGACGTGTAGGTTAGTTTATTATTTTTTTTTATTTTGGAGGTCAAAAAAGGCCTCTAAAGTAATCAAGTCCAGCTCTTAACTGAATACTGCTATCTTCACCATGATACCATGTCCCCAAGTACCAGATCTAGGTAATTTTTTAACGTCTCCAGTGGTGATGATTCCACCACTTCCCAGGGAAGCCTCTTCCAACACCTTACCACCCCTTCAGTAAAGAATTCTTTCCTAATATCCAATCTAATCCTCCCCTGATGCAATTTGAGACCTTCTTGTCCTGTCACTTGTTGCTTGGGAGAAGAGACTGACCCTTACCTGTCTACAGCATTCAGTAAAGACATAAGAAAAGCTCATTTAACAGCATCTATCAAAATCCATATGGAGCCATGAAGTGACATCCAGAACAAGCCAATTTGAAATACAGGGTCTTGCCCTCCCATTTTCTGCATGCAACCCAAAACACACAGTCCTAAATGTAAGATCAGGGTCACCCTCCCATCCAGGACAGCAAAAGTGTTGGGGAGCCAGGCTTGGCTGCAGGTCCTCAAAGGGGTGCTCAAAAAATACCTTGCCTTTAGGGCCAGTCCTTCAGCACCAACAAAATGTTTGGTTGGCTGCTGAGATCAACATGTGCAAGCTCAAGCCTTGAGACAATCAGAATTTTCCTTTAGTTTCCTTTTTCCCCAATAGTTTCATTTTTTTCAATAGTTTCTTTTTCTTTTTTTTTGTTTTAATATGTGATGCTGAAAGGCTTTGTCCCTCTGACACTTGGGGGATGCAGACACATGCTTGGTACTTACTGTTTAGCTAGTTCCATGGATATTTGCTCCAAGGAGCATCCTTTTGTCTCTGGTATAAACATGATAACAAAAGCCAGTGATGCTAGACTCATTGCTGTGTAAATGAAGCACACCCAGGACAAGCCAATGAGCTCTACAAAGGAAGAAAACATGTCTTTTTTAATTTTCAAATACTGCAATTTTTCTTCCTGTTGATGTATTTTATAAGGCCCCTAATGCACAGGAGAAGTTAGAAAGAAGCCAGGCTGCTATTCTTAGCTCACATATATTGAAAAATAAGAGTGGCTTTGCTTTTTCTAATAGTCCTTATGAAAGAAAATAATGAGTTCATATTGGTCCACTTAGCATGAACCTATTGGTTTATTTTATTTGCAATCACTCTGGATGAAAACAGTGAGTAGCCATTGTTACTGGTTTGTGGGAAGGCAGGGGGGATCATGAATGCCTTGGATTTTTGCCTGTGTCTGGTTTTGGTGCACATTCTTTCTTGGAGTAAATCCAAGCATTTTTCACACTATTACAGTTGTCTCCAGCTAATCCTCCCCACCTGTCAGTGCCCAGCATTTCCACTGCGAGTCACGGGTGCTGTGCCAGAAAGTGATCCAAGAGTGAACTCTTAATGGAGCATCCAAGAATTAGTGGTTTTCTGAGCCTACAGCCCAGGGGCAGGTAGACCTCTGGCCAAGGGATGCACTCTGCAGCCCCTGAAAATTAAATTTTGTACAAACCCAACAGTGTGCTGCAGCCCCCTTAGCCCTTTTCCCTGCTAACATAAACCTGGACAGTTGAGACATTTGTCAGTTGTGTCATGAGCTGAAAATTGTAGATGAAGCTTCTGATCCAGCTGGTACCTCTGCACCAGCAGCTACGTGCAGATGCTGCTGGCTACTCTGACCACCATATGTATTCATTTGACAACAGAATTCCCAATCCTGCCTTTCCACCATAGACTAGGAATGCATATTTTCTTGTACTTGCACTTTCATAAATCGAGATTAGACCCAGTTAAGCCAAGGGAGTTACTGGGGCTTTACAGACTTTGAAACTGAGACCAGGATAACAGCAAGATGTGCATTAACAAGTAGCACTGCATGACAAGTGGGGACCTCCCGGTGAAACAGCTGACACTGAACACCTGAGGTCTGCACTAGGTGGTTTTGGGGACATTTCCTTAGGAATAACTCAGGTCTGGTCCAAGGACTGAGCAAGTGTTGGCAGCCGGTCTGCCTACAATATGCATTTTCTCATTTGGTTTTGCCCAAAAGCTTGTGCGGTTCAGGAGTGCAGTCCTGTGACACAAACTGATGGGCAGCGAGTGGGAGTAACTGGATGGTTTCCTTTTGAAGAAGACCCTTGATCCAATTAAATTGAGAGTGTGACCACAGTGAACTTTACCTGTCATATTTTTCCTAGCTTTAATCAAGATAGTACTCAGGAAGGAGAATGTGTTTTTTCTTTCTCTCTCTCTCTTGTTTTGTTTTTGGGCTTGTTTTTTTTTGGTGGGGGGGAAAAATACAAATGTGAAACCCATTTTAATTACAGATCACATTCATTTTCAAATCTGTCTCAAAAAACATCTAATGGGTGAAAACTACCTTGACTTTTTGTGAGTTGATTGTCTGCTTCTGGTGGAGAGTAATGTAGATGTAAGGAAAACCTGGAATTTCAGCTTTCTTATATATTTTGATTTTTAGCACATATTTTCCTCACAATAAGACTGAAAACTAAAATTTTCAAAGCCTCATATAATATAAAATTAGAAAAATAAATTTGCTAACCAATAAATTTCAGCATCAGCATTTAACCTTCCCCTTTGATTATCATTAGAAGTCATACATGGTAGGCATGTACTTTCTTACATTCAAATGTAAAAGGCTTTTATCTCACAAAGATAATTTTTTTTCTAAAGAAAGTTTTCTGAAAGCCAAGACATTCCTGTGAAAAGGAATTAATTAAATGGGATTGTGTTTATGTCTGATCAGAAAAGCTGTCGTCTGATCTAGAACAGAACTTGCATTGATTTCAAAAGATGCAGGACTTAATCCTAAACACTGTGTATTTTTAGCCTACCAAGGCAATGGCGTTTTAAGACACAGCCTGTGGCGTGGATATGCAAGGTCTGACAGCCAGCTCTGTGGGGCTGAAGTTACTGGCACAAGGAAAGATGTGGTGGGAATGGTGAAGTTACACCAGCACCTAAACAGAGACCTTGTCTCCTGGGCTTTCACAGCTGCAATTTTAGCAATACTTTTGTATAAGAAAGACTTAATTTGCCCACTAGGAGAATATCAACTTGCAAGTACATGGAGAAATCTTACCAGTTACAGTCAAAAACGTCAAGGAGATGAGGAGATTTATACCCCAGTTCATGCTAGATGTCAAAGCCATGGCCCGTCCTCTGATCCCACCAGGGAAAATTTCACTCAGGACCAACCAGGACACTGAAATACAAGGAAAAAAATGTTTATTTGGAAGGATGGCTCTCCTTGCTGTAAGTCTAGGTAGACCATGGATTCAGGTGAGGCCACCTGAAAGAATAGGGGGTTAGGCAGCATGTGCAGCAATCAGCATCACCTCAGGTCATCATCCCTTCATCCCTGCCCAGTGGGTGCCTGAGCCAGTGACAGGTGGCACTGGACTGGGGAGGTGAGCTCTGACTGCACATCTGGGTATGAAAGCGAGTTCTGACTAAATAACTCTTGAGTGACATAGCACTAATGGAAGTGGGGCAGCAACCCAAAGCAGTCTTCAGCCTCAGAGGGGCACTGTGTGGTTCTGCCACCTTATAAATCAACCTGCCACACTGAACTATGCTTGCAGTTCCAGCTCTCTGCCCCACATAAATGAGATTGCTAAGGTATAAATGAAGAGAGAGTGATTTTGGAGACTGATTTTTGACTCGTTCATGTCACGCCACACCATGTCACAGGTGATCTAAATACTGGTGCTGCTAGCTCCCAAAAGCAAACCTTGATAGCAAGAGCAAAAAAAAAAACCAAACAAAAAAAAAAGACACATTTTTTACTGTTCCTGATTTTCAGAAAACAAATTAACAAAAACCCATATACAAACAAAACCAAGGCCCAGCCAAAAATCTGCTCCACCCTCTCCTTTTGTTGGCAAGCAAGATGCATTAGCAAGAGGTTGCTGTGTGGAGAGGTTGTGGGTTAGCACATGTCTGGTACAAGAGCAGCAAGGTACACATAGATGAGCTGTGTCTTCAGACCCTTGGCGATTATAAATTGCTCATCTATGATGTTTTGTCTGCAAAATGACAGATAGGAGTTTACCCAGAACACTTGCACTGGGCAGTCTAAAAGATACATTTTAAAACCAAGCTCCTGTATGTCCAAGTGTGGTTCACTGGTGAAGGTAGGAAAAAAATGGTGCTCCAAGAGGAAACTAAAAAGAACTAGATTAAATGGGGAAAATCCCCCCAAGTTTAGCGTCAACAGTGCAGATTTCAGCAAATTCTAGACTTCTTAGTACCATCGATTTGAAATAATTTTTTTTTGTGGACTTGGCCCAGTTTTTTGTATTTCTTAAAGAGAAATTTTAAAAGCTTCACTCCCACCATGGGAGTGATTCAGAAGAATGATAATTTTATTACAGAGAATCAAAACCACATTTCATAATGGCCTAACCCTGTTGGGTATAGTCAAGTGGCCATAACACAGCCTCCATGTCTAACAGGAACCACAGAGAGGCTTTTGTTTCTTTTTTTTTTTTTTTTTAATGATATGTATCACATCAAGCTTTAACACGCTACTGACAAGACAAACATTGCTGTAAAGAAGCACCTTTTCTGCGTTCTGTAGTGTGCCTACAGACAAGGCAGGAGCAAAGAAGAAGCAAACTGACTTCTCAGGCACTAGTATTGCTAGTCACAACACTTCAGAACCTGAAAAGCAAAACAGCAAGTAAGCAAGAGGCAAAGGAGCCTGCAGTTCATCTTCATGGGACATTCTGCCAGCCAGCACACAAGCTCGGCTGCAAAAAGTGTTACACATCAAAAACTGGCAAAAGGGATATTTACTGTCACATTAGAGTTAACATAAAGGTTGAAAGAATCGAAACCCACTTTCTGCTGGGCATAAACCAACCTCCAGGAACAAAGCAGTGTTCTGGGCACTGGAGGATGGCTCATGCTGCCGCTGAAGTGTGTGGTACTGTGGCACCTCCAATACCATGCAGTTTGCCAACAACAGACTGACCCTTTCAGCCTAACCGAGCATTTGTCTGGAGGTTTGAATCATGTTGTTTTCCTGTTAAGAAACCAAAATACTTGAGGATCTGCATCAAGCTGTAATAGTGGTTAGCTGCTTTTATTGCAACCACTTATTTAGTTTAGACAGATGCCACCAAAACGCCAGGACTGTTTTTCATGTCTGCTGATGGTAGCTACACCCGCTGGCATGGCCCTGACCTCTGCTTAGCTGGCAAGGAGTGGATAGGCTCATTCCCCCGGGGGGAAAGAGCAGTTGTAGAAATCTGGCACTACAGTCTGTTTACTCCTTTCCCCAAGCTGAAGCAGCAATAACCATCGATTCTTTGCTTTTAGCACCTCTCTGGGATTGTGTTTACTATTTGTACCTTTGCCAAAAAGCAGCAGCTGCTGTAGGTATGGCAGGGATGTGACTTGCTCTGGGGAAGGCAGCAGCTAGGTTCAGGCTCCCATTCACAATGACTGCTGCTGCCTTCTGCACTGTGCACACAGCACTGTGGACATTTAACCTTCATGCTCCCGAAGTCATTGCCTTCACCAGCCTAAGCAGTGGCATTCCACAAGGGAAATCAGCCTGTCCTTGAAAAGAGCCTCCAAATACCACCCTACACCTCCCACCCCTCCATCTGCTGTGTAATCCAGCAGTATTTCCAAAGGATGCTGCCACAGCAATCCCACTGCACACACTCTGTAGGTTTCAGTGTCTGCTCCGGCCACCCCTGGCTGGTGTCAGTGGAATGGATGGGAAAAGAGCTGGTGATCCCCGGTGAGATGTAGGAAAGAGATGAGGCAAAGGGCTGGGCATGGTTCTCTGTGCTCGATTCGACAACTGCGGGATTTGTTTCTGCAGGCAGTAAGTAACTCACCTTTGCTGACCCACAGTGTGCTGTGTGTTGACAGCAGTTAAGAAAAACTGTGCAGTTTAATGGTCCTTTATTATGGTACAATATAGAGGAAAGAGCACACACTGCAAATGCAGACAGAAATATTGCACTGGCTTAGAAAGCTTAACTGTTTCATTAAATATCACAGAAACTAGATGGTCTGATATTCCTTGCCCAAGTGGAAAGAGCAGAGGATCCAGATATAATAAACAGCCCCATGACCAGGATGGTGACATCCACCTCTAAACAAAGTCACAGGGGCTGCACAAGCAGGAAGCAGAATAGTAGTGGAAGATTTCAGCTAGTTCCATAATGACTGAATAAATCATGCATAATTGAGCACAGGGCTGGGAGTACATTTTACATACCAGAGATGATGGTTCTTTTAAGCACTTTGTTGGATATTTAATGAGAGAAAAAAAGGCAAATAATACTTCAGTGCTGAGCCTGGGTAGTTCAAGTCTTGTAGAAAGGGAAACACCTAGAGCCTACGACATTTTGTTTTGAATTGAGAACAATATTAACATAAGCCTCCTTTATATAAAGATCAGGGTAAAGGCTTCAGTGGTGCTCCAGGGGATGTTTAAACTATGTGGTTGAAGGTTTAAAATATACATACAACCAAATGAATGAGAAATAGCTCAGCACAGATAAACTACTGAATGAAGAAAACTGTTAGAAATAGGGAAGTGCCTTTAGAAAAGGTGTACATTGTGCCCAGACAATGATAAAACAGTATGCTCGCTGAAATGTTACTTGCAATATCATCATCAGGCAGCCAAGTGTTTTGAGTGTGCTCACTGAAAGGATGAGAGGCCAGGGACAGAGGCAGTGACATCCCAGTATTAAAGAAAATATTCCACTGGGATGCAGGAAGGGATCACCCTGCTAGACTCTACCAAGCTCCTAGCTGGAGCAAGGATAAAGCTGACTAGCATCAAGGGGGATGGGTACAGTGTCTTGAAGAAGAGTCCTAAGGAAAACCATATCATTTTGAAAGAGTTAAGTAACTTAGGGTTAGAAACAAATGAGACACTGCTTTTCAGTATCAAAGAGCTTAGATTAAATGTTGTGGGATAGAAGAGCAGTGGGTTTAGTCACATTCTAAAAGATATAAACCAAGAGAATCCAAGTGAAATTACCAGATACAGCAGCTAGGTGAGGCAGAAGGATATGCTTTTTCACACAATTTGTATTTCAGTCATGGAACTCACTGTCACAAGATAATTTCAATATGAAAAATATTGGTCAGTTAAATCATTAAATGCTGGGTGTCAAAACTTTATTTCTCCATATGTGCGAAAAAAGATCCACCCAGAACTATTGTTCACAATAGTAAAAATAATTCCTCAGTATTTTTCTTGAAGTTTTCTAAACTACAGAAGGCAGAAGGACAACTGCATGCTGCATGGGCCTCTTATTCTGCATTGTTTCTCAGCTTGTTATGGGCTGGAGGTTATATGGCTGGAGACAAGATAACACACTGATTAAGTGGACTTTTTGTTTCAGCCAACATGGCCAAACTAATGAACTTTATACCTGGGCTGTAAGCAAAGAAATGTCACAAACTTCATGTGACACCTTCCTTACTTACTTCCTTACTTCTTTATTTCCGTACTTCCTTACTTCTTTACTTCCTTACTTCCTTACTTTACTGCTATGCAGTAAATAAATTTTAAAAAGTGAAATTAACATGCATCAGAGAAGCAGAAAAATATGAGAATAACTGAGAAATACCATGAGCTTGAGGGTGCTCAACATTCAAGTGAGGTACATGAATAAAAAATGTCCTTGTTTTGACCTTTTCCTGCCAGGAGGTAGAAGCAAATTGGAAGCTGCTCAGCAGCTCTTATTAGTGAAATATTAGATTCCCCTGGTATTCATTTGTTGCTTAGCTTTTTTTTTGCCTGTACTTGCATTGTGTGAGATCAAATTCTTTATAGTGAGATTCAGAAAATGGCCATTGCAATACTCGAAAGAATTCAGGTTTCTGAGGTATAAACTCTGGAAAGCAATTAATTGGACTTACAGCTTAGGAGGGAAATGGACAGAAGTACTTTAGATTTTGAAAAGGTGGACTGGGTTATTAACAAAACAAGGTCCAAGAGAAGATAAGGAAGGGATTACCCCATGAAGTAACATAGATAGACCATCTAACAAATGATCAGTGCTGGGGAAGGAGGCAAACAAGTCACTGCAAAGCTGCCATGAGATGGCAGGACTCAGCTAATGACTGGCTTTGCCAAGAACAGATATAAATTCCAGGCTTATTAAACCCAATAGATTTTTCATTTTCCTGGCTTCTGGCTTTGCTGGGTATTATCAGAAATAA